TTATTATTATTATTATTATTATTATTACAATGACCATCCTGTCCAGAGAAACAATTCCTCTACATCATGAAATTTCACAATGGTAACGAGTACAACACTAAAAAGTAGTTCATATTTGCAAACTTCATGTCTCTCTGGATGGAATGTATTTGTTCGAAGTTTTGTTAAAATTAGTGCACTGACGACCAAGGTATTGTCCTTTAATTGGACCTCTTTTTAAAAGACACACTGTACCACACATAGCAAAAAAACCCAAAAAATTCTCCCCCCCCCCCCCCACTCCCAGGAATTCTGTGTCCCCTTAACTCATTGAGGACTCATATTCTGGTCATTCGACTACGCCTGAAGGTGCGTTGTTTTACGGCATAACTTTATTATTTGAACATATTTTTTTGCTTGTGTTCTTTTGTGCGAAACTTTTAAAGCCATGCAACAACATGTGCACATCGAAATATTAAGCAAACTAACGTTTCTGCTTGTGTGTCATTGTGCGACATGTGTCAAAACATTGCTTTCCCTCTGCTGCTGATCGGACATATGGCTACCCTAAAATTGCAAAGTTCTCCCTGCGCAGTGCCTAGTTTTGACAAAATTGACGCTAAAAGTTTTATGTTTCGTAACATGGCAAGTTTTTTAATGCAATTCTTTGAATATGTTGATAACGACTCTGAATATTCTTACGATTTCGATAGAGCAGATAGAACACTAAATTATGTTTCTGACCTCATGGTCTTAGTAACTCAAAACGACCAAAAATGTCAAATAAAACGATGTAATTTCAAGGTAACGATGTGTGTCCATTACTTTGTTAAAGAGTTAATTGTCTCACCAGAGCCGGCGAAATCGACAGAGCCCAGCTGTGAGAGGAAGCCGGAAGAGGCCCAGGCCCAATGGGCGGGGAAACAGTAGACCACGGTGTTGAAGAAAGAGAACAGTGTGTAGGCTGTCAACTTGGTCCTCTCGGCCATGGCTCCAGACACGATCGTCGTCGCTGGGAGTATGGCATAACAATAAGATCAGGATTTTTTTCTCCAAATTATTGTAGTAATGGTTTTACGTAACTTGCAACATAAATATTATGTTATATAAATGCTAAACATTAGAGGTGTTACTACAGAGTGACATGACAACGAAAAGAAGAAAATGAGTTAAGGACGATAGATTTTTTATAGTAAAGAAGTAGCTAACCACACCAGAGCACCTGCCAACCACCCACAATCAGATCAGAGAGGAGACTTTTTCTGTGTAAGTCTCACCTATGTGTAGAAGAACACTGAGCATGATTTCTTATCAAATGCAAGAGAAATGTTAAAAAGAGCTGCAAGGAGCAAAATTCTTAGTCGTATTCATTGACATCACATTATGTTTGATTTTATCTATTGTTACTGAGAAATTGTGAAAATTTTCTTTGGGATTAGCATATAAATTAAATTATTTTCAATCTTTCTGTTTCTTTTCTTGTATGGTGCGCTGCTTATTATGTACAGTGTATTTCTGGCCAATCAAGCAATGCAGTTATATTATTATGTAATATGTGCTTGCGATTGACGCCAACCTAAAAATAAGGCCATTTCAAAGGTTGGCCATTCTATTCCCTTTGAAGACACAAGGTTGAAACGAAATTATCCGGGTAGAACGAAACAAATTCTCTTCAAACGAGCTCAACAGTTTAATTTCCAAACTTTAACCGAATTTTTTACTCACTCAGACATAGCAACCGTCTCGTGATTAAATTATGCTTTTTGAACAATTTTTCAAAAACTAAAAAAAACCAGTTCTTCCATACAATTCAGCAAAACGCAGTCCAACAACTGTCCCATACCTGTGGTCGCAAAAGACAACTGGAACACGAAGGTGGAGTAAATGACCCCCATGTTTTCATCCTCTATATCCACGAAAAAATAGCCCACGCCACAGAACGGGTTGGTGCCCTTGTCTACTCCGAAGCTGAGACCAAACCCGAACATCCAGTACGTTAGACCACCAAAGACGACGTCCACAACGTTCTTCATCATGATGTTGACCTCATTCTTCGGAGACACATTGCCCGCCTCTAGCAGGCCAAACCCTAGGATAATAATAATAATAATAATAATAATAATAATAATAATAATAATAATAATAATAAATGACATTTATATAGCGCTCAACCCCGAATACAGTACACAGGCTCTGAGCGCTTTACAATACAGTACAACATACAACAGTAACATGAAACTTTGTGTTCTGACTAAAGACAATTATTCCAAATATTCATCTTATTAATTTAAAAACAGAAACGTCGGTGGGCATAATTTATTACCATCTTTGGGAGAGGGGGGAGGGGAGGGGGCAAACGTATGGAAAGAGAAGGGCAAACGTGTTGTTGGCATTTTAATCATTTTTTAAAAGTTTTTCAACTAAAGCAATTGAGCCATCTTTCAGTATAATAGGCCTGAAATCGTACCAAACAGAGTAATCGGAGAGACCTGTTGGTGGTACGCGAGATGGTGGTTATGTTACTGTTGACTTCCTGGATGTCGTCTACGACAATAAAGTTTTATTCTTCCACAGGAAATGGAAATTGATGATAAGAATAATATGTGAATTCATTATGCTTCTCTTTGGGTTATAATACCATAAGACAGTGACCTTTTTGCTGCTTGTTTCGTTCTTTAACTTTACAAAGAATCGTCTAAAGACCAAAATATTATAGCAAAGAAAATAACCTATCACATCTCCCCTTTTTTCCCAACTCGAAAGGGGAGATGCAATAACTTTATGTGAACGTTACCTGACTGCATGGTAAATATGATAAAGGCGCTGGTAAGGATCCAGGTTGCATCGTCCCAGGTAATGTCCATGACCTGCGCTGACTGTGTCGAATTATCGGCCATGACGGACGCGTGCACGGCTGGGAACAATAATATCATCATCATCATCATCATCATCATCATCATCATCATCATCATCATCATCATTGTTTGGTAAGCAGAGTAGGAGGGAGTCTTGTATGAATTTCAGACAAAATAACATAACAATATAAAATGTTTAAAATTTGTTCAATAGCTCAACGTTTCGCCTCGTGGGCTTCCTCAGGAGCAACTGAGAGAAAAACTAAATGAACGCTGTATACAGGCAGGGACACGGGCCTAACGCAGAGGGTCTTAAGATTACGTGTGGTTACAGGCTAGACGGAAGTGACTAAGGGGGAGTCAGACCAAAGGGTTAATTATAAAGAAATCGGTGCTAGTCTAGCAAGAGTATCAATTTTATCTCTACGAGAGGCTGACAGGAAGTTAATTGTGTGAACGTGGGATGAAAGAGGGAAATGGTTGGGCGTACTTTATAGAGGCATCCCAGTTGAAGGCAAAATGAAAGAGACAGAAGAAGGGGGTGTGTGTGTGTGTGTGTGTGTGTGTGTGTGTGTGTGTGTGAGAGAGAGAGAGAGAGAGAGAGAGAGAGAGAGAGAGAGAGATAGAGAGAGAGAGAGAGAGGGGGGGAGAGAGAGAGTGGGGTGAGGGTCAGGTTGGTGGAGGGGGGGGGGGGCATAAGTGAGCGAGATCTAGTACAACCATAGCAACAGCGTAATAACATGGTAATACGTATAGATACATACATACATGCATACACACTCATCATCATCATCATCATCATCATCATCATCATCATCATCATCATCATCATCATCATCATCATCATCATCATCATCATCATCATCATCATTATCATCATCATCATCATCATCATCATCATCATCATCATCATTGTAGATAGCAGGGAATAAAAAAAGGGTTTGAAACTTTGTAGACTTTTCAAATTTAATAAGTTCGAGGTTTCGGCCGGTAAAGGGCTTCTTCAGGAACATTTAGAAAAATATAATGGAAAATCTATTGACTACAAGCTACAGCAACAAAAGTGTTCTCATCATCATCATCATCATCATCATCATCATCATCATCATCATCATCATCATCATCATCATCATCATCATCATCATCATCATCATCATCATTATTATTATTGTTATCATTATCATAATAATAATAATAATAATAATAATAATAATAATAATAATAATAATAATAATAATAATAATAATAATAATAACAATAATAATAAAAACAATAATTTTTATTGTGCCTCACTCTAGTACAAAACAGCTCTTGGCGCCTTACAATACCGTCATCTTTATACATATTACGAGTGCATTAATGCGCATATTTACGCCCTTTTGGCTAATGCTAGCTCGAAAACCAAGATCCGTGCTATCACAGCACAATCGATGACGATATGCACACCGCATTTAAGACGTTAGGGTATTATGAATAATAAGGGCTAACTATTGAGATAGCATTTCATGATGTAAGAAGACAACAATATTCGCTTTGTGGTATCGATTGAACGACAATTTCAACTCCGCAAAGCCATATAAGACAAATAAGTGCCACGGAACGAACATCTTTTTTCAGGTAGACTGGGCCAAGTACCGTCGAAATTGTTTAAGGCGGTCATCGACTGTCAAGGAGAAATATGGTTTTCTCAGACAGGTGGAAGTCTTGGACAGTGTTACCATAATATATCATAAAAACGGGGGAGGGGAGGGGTTTTTTGTCTTTACAGGGGATTGTCGTGGGCAGGTGGCCATTAGAACAGGTTCGACTGAAGGTCAAAAGTGCAATATTAGCGATTCGAGTAAGCTCACCCCTCCTTTCCCCTCTTTTGAAAATTACCCCACATCAAAGTATGCTACCTAAGCTAAAGGTGTATCCCAATAGTGGCCATATGCTCTGTGTTGGTTTATTTCGAGTTTGAAGCCTATCACGCACAAGAGTTTTCACTATTTGTTTGTTGCTTTTTATCCGATTGTTGTAGAAACAGTAAAGGTGGAAGGGGGGGTAAGGCCAGAGAGGAGTGTGAAGTGTATTACGAATACGACAAAGCAGTCTGTGTACTACTATGATAAAGATTTGTGAAAATAACACCGAAGAAGTTTGATATGAATGTAGTAATATTAAATTTAGTTACCTAAATGCTGTAATTTAAACGATTGATAAAATATAGATCAAAGACTACAAAGAGACGGGAACACGAAAATAATATTTATTGATACAACATTAGCCTAAGACTAGCTACTAACCATTTAAGCTGTTCAAATGAACTATCTGTTAAACGAAAAAACAAGTTTTATCCTTTGTTTGTTGGCATGCTTACAGACAAAAACGGATGGGGCCCAGGAAAAAGGAACCTGTTGCTACAAAATGACACTATGACGGGCTGCTCTTAAAGGGCCCTGTTAATATTTCGAAAAGCATTCCGACAAAACCCGGAGATAATGAAAAAAAAACAACAATTAAATTTCAGAAAAGCATAATGATATATACCATGATCCCCCCCCCCCCCCCCCCAAAAAAAATCCAACAAAAAACCAACAATTGTACAACTTTTTTTTCTGAACATCTGGCTCAAAAATTGTTCTAGAATGCTGTAATTTGGAACACATATAATTCACTCAAAAGGAATTTGTTTAGACATAAAATCCACGAAGAAGAAACTTGTTTTGAAAACGGGTATAGCTTGAAGAAAAATGCACCCAAATACGCGAAAAGTCACCAATCTTTTAAAATCGTGTTAAGGAAGTCGTGAAAAGATTGGTTGACTTTTTTCTCTTTGACATTTATTTTCTCACTCCTGTGACCTTTAAACAGTATTTAATTTCTTTTACAGAGTTTTACAAATCTAACAATTTCTGTCTGAAATTTCTAGAAGCAGTGCTCTACATCCCCTCCTTTGAACACTTTTTTAACGCGTCGTTCAAAATGTTCAATGGCGCCCAAACACAAGGACCTGCTAAACCATGAGTCTTTAGCCACATACACTGTACATATTCAGCATGAAGTGGGTTCTAGAGACAATAGAGGGTGGGATGCCCAAATAGACAGCATTTTTTGAATAAACATATCCCGCAGGGTGAAAATGGGTTTTGTACTAAATCAAATGTCATCGAGGAAATGATTCCGCTTTTTAAGACAATCGAGGAATCATGAACACATTGCCATGCTCTGATCCATGTCATCTCGACCTAGCGAAGATGAAAATGGTACAGTTGTAGGTTTAGATCTGTCATAAGAGGAGTAGAAAAGTCCTAGCTGCAGATCGTCTACGGACAGACGTCTCATGGGATTCGATAACTGAAATCTGCACCCTGGTGACGTATAAACGGCTGTGCATGGTGAGTGTTCGACCTGAAGTGGTCATTTTAAAGAATGTTAAAAATTCTGATTCGCTATAGATCCAAAATGACGAAATTTCTCTACTCATGACGCCAAATGTCTTGAGGGCACCTAAGCCTTCTCTCCATGACATGCGCAGAACTTACGAAATTTCAAGGATGGGGAGTTTGTGGAGAGGTAATGTTCAATACAAAAAACTCTCTGCTCTTTCCTAAATGTAACCATGATCTCAGCAGGCAAACGACATTTGGGTAAAATAATATCTGCAGACTTCTGTTGACTTGTTAGAGTGCTGTAGCTTGCAATATGGCGCGACTGTTGCAACCGTTAGTGGTAGGCCTAATGTGAACTGGTGCGTTATGCTATGAAAATGCCGACAAGGTTAAAAATGGGTTGGGTTTTTTAATGTGCCATATAGAACAAAACCATTCCATGAACCTATCTAAAATGAATATCAGACAAATTGCTTTTGGGTTCCAAATGTTATGTTCAAATATGAAATGCAAAACTTCGGTATGGAGGAAGATATATTTTACAAAACAAGTTGTACAGTTGTTGTTTTTTTATCCCCCTGTTCATTGGACTACGTACACGTCTATTAGCTCTTCAAAACCACACCCCCTCCCCCAACTCTCACATAAACAAACACACATATACTCAAACAAACAAACAAACAAACATACAAACACAATTCTAAATCAAAATATATGTAATTAAGTTTTAAAAGGCATTTAAAATGCTGCGTTGAAATGTTAAAAGATAGATCAAGCTGATGGCGTCATGGGCGATTTTCATGTATTTCCACAGGTCTTCCTCACACTAGTTGTTGACTGTGTGGATTTTGAGTTGACGGAGGTATAGATGTAAACCACTGCTTGTCAACCTGGGAGCGTATCGCCCACTAATCGGCGATTGTTTGGTAATTTTGTGGTAGGTAGGGTTCACCCGGATAGTGGCAGGTGTCAGTGATAATGTCCCGCTCGGAAATACGTGGGAGATACGGATATTTTTAGGTTCTTAAAGGTAGAAAAGTGGGTGCTGTTCATAACAATATTGGCACTAATTGATTTAAGTCATGAGAATTTTGAACAAAATGGGTACGCTTTATTGCGTGCAGAGTGACATTTATCAAAGAAATCAAGCTTTAAAACACAGAAACGCGATCATATGCGACGAGTCCTTTAAAGACAAAGAGACTAATAATATGAATAAACGAATATTATTGATAATACTGTGATACACAGAAAGCGTTCTAGCATGGGTAAGTACCAAAATGATTGCACTTTGAACTATGCAACTTCTAGTACACACACACACACACACACACACACACACACACACACACACACACACACACACACACACACAAACACAGAGAGAGAGAGATGCGCAGAGAGTGAGAATGAGAGAGAGAAAGAGAGAGAAAGAGAGAGAGAGAAAGAGAGAGAGAGAGAGAGAGAGAGAGAGAGAGAGAGAGAGAGAGAGAGAGAGAGAGAGACGCACACGCACTCATACACAAACACATAGGCCTATACACACAGAATCATGCACTTTGACATTCACGCACAAAAAATAAACACCTTGTGCAAAGATAGAAGATGTCAGCAGCCGAATTGCCTTATTCAGTGCTTACTTTTTCGACAAATTCATTGATAACATCATTG